CCCTGTGGACTTGATTTTTCCAGGTAGTCATTGTCAATGGTTCAAGCCTTCAAGGACGAATATGTTTCTTACCAAATTCAAATCTTTTTTGGACTTCTTTCATTATAAAATTTATTAGGACGAAACAATCTTGGTAGCTAGCTCGCTTGCTTTATATATTTATGATGAAGAAGTTGAACTTTCTTTTCAGCATCAAGAAAACTGCAGTATTTCAGGATATATTAGGGATAATATCAGAAACCTTCCCTGATTTCTCTTAATATCACCTGGCACCCCTAAAATTTTAAAAATATCACTTACCTCCCTACTTTTGTTATTTGTGTAACAAAATTTTAAAAAACCCTAAACTACCCTATCACTTGCTAAATAAAAATGTTCCTAAACCACTTTGTTCACTTCAAAAGCAATCTCTTGTAGTACCACTACATCACAATTCTATACCCCATAAAAATATAAATTTGAAATACAAAAATGATATTTGAAAAGAAATACACTTGCATTAACTTAATTCTATATGCTCAAAATCGATTTCCTATAAATTTTTCTAACATCTTCTCAACCCTTTAATCAAACCATTAAACTATACCAATCATTATAAAAATCAACCCAAAATAAGCAAATAAATCATACCCCACTTTATCACAATCACAAAAAGTAAAAGATAAACAAATATTGCATAGTTATCCAAAAAATATGAGTAAGAGAGAATGATGGAGAAAAGGGAAAAAGAAGAATGTGACTTCGGTTTCTTTAATTTTTGAGCTTCATTTATTTGTGAATTATGTGTCAAGCGAGGGTTAATATAGTCATTTTACAATTATTAGGGGAGGTCAGTGATATTTCTAAAACCTCAGGGGTGTCAAGTGATATTAAGAGAAACCTCAAGGGAGGTTTCTGATATTATCCCGATATATTATCCTCAACTAGTCCACTGCCTGCCGTACTTAATTGACCCAAACAAATCAATTGAAAATCGATATGAAACTTTTAGCCTTTTTTACTTCTGGGTGAGAGAGAGGTGGTTTCAATGCAGAGCGGCCAAATAGTTTTCCTCAGAAGTCAGGACTAGTTTGGTGCATTCACCTTGATTGATGCAAGGTCTTTGGTATGGGTTGCATCCAAAATTCGGGGATCTGATTCAAAGTAAGCTGCAGGAGACCTTGGCTCCACCTCGTATTTCTTGCAATATGGTAGCCAATGCTTAGAGAAATAGGAAGCCTGGAGGAGTGCATGGAAGGTAAGCTCCGAGCCACCATCATCAGAGAGATAAACGCTGAGTTTCTCTGTTGGATAATCATATGCCATTACAGACAAAACAGTATTGATCACCATGATTGGTGGCTCAACAGCAGGATCAGCTGTGCAAACAAATATGTCCACTTTAGGCAGCTCATTCTCGAACCTGCAAAGCACATAGAAAAAAACTCTGAAATCCCACAAGACAGAACTACATTCAAGACTCTTAAATTTTAGCGGTGTGTGATCATTGACGAATCGACAATCATAAGAGTTTGAAGAACAATGGGAACAAGAAGCTAAACCAAAAGCATAGAGGAAGGAGCCGTCACCTACGGGAGAGCCTGTCGGTAAAGGTACGACGATGTACAAGACTCCAGCGGACAGATTGAGTGATGAACCAGTAAAGGCCAAACCAAATTTCAGCTCCAAACATTCCAATCCAAGCCCATCTCCCATCTTCCTGGGATCTTGGGATGTGACTTGCTCTATAAATCCAAATCAAGATAATCCCAACAAATATGGAAGTAGCAAACAGTCTATGAACTATCCTGCCCTTCGCCTTCTTCGTCTCAAAAAGAGGAATATACTCGCTTCTACCAGTACCGCCACTTCCCATTTCTGTTGTTTTCAATATCTCTTTCTTCACTGGTTTTTCCGACTTTCAGCTCTATTATATATGTGGCATATATTTATTAAGTTTCTAATACTGCAGTAATGGGCAGGCCGGGAGTTTTCAAATATTTATTATTATTTAATTAAAGCGCAGAGAGGCATTTGAATTCTTTGCCATTACATGGAACTACTACTATTTATAAGACAGGAACAACCGCAGACAGCTGACGAAGGTTGCAGGTGGGTTCCACTCCTACTCTAGCCTAGCCTACTTTAGGGGACCCATTGCCAGCAATTATTGCACTGTATGTTTCGTTACGTAATGGAATGCGCTATAGCCTGGGCTTAGGGATGACTGACGGCACATATAAATCACTAGGGTACAAGACTAAGTTTTTTTTTTTTTTTTTTCCTGTCAAAGGACGAGCACTCTTTAATTAAGATACTTATATCACATTTAAATTACCACATGTAAATACACGCTCCCGACTAACTAAGTGAGGTTCCTTTCCAATAATTGGAGGTTTCTCCGTTATACCCAAATAAATATAATCATTTTATTATTTTTAAAAATTAAGAACATCCACTTTATACTTCTCTAGTTAGTTGTGTAAAGTATATACAAAAATTGAAATTAAGTTAATTAAATTTTATGTTGGATCAAATTTTGCAACTTTCATCGTAACTTTAACCTGTTTTGCCTAGTCAAAATGTTTCGTGCAAATTGAAAAGCAAAACATTCATAAATGAATTTGATTTTTTGAGTGTGTTGATGTAATTGTGGGAATAAAATTACTAACACGAACAGATTATTGCAAAAAATTCAATTGTATAAATATTAAAAAAAAATGTATGTAGATAAATGGAGAGAAAAATAATGGAGAGCAGAGGATCTCATCATCCTTTAAATTGTGACATTTTTTCGAATTAACTTTCTCTTTTGTCGGAGAAAGTTATCCATCATATATATATATATATATATATATATTTCCGCCACAAATTCCCTCCGTATATACTACTATCCCTTTCATAACTCACAGTTTTTTGTATGAGTGTATATACTACTATCACTTATGGATTATTTGCGTTGCACATCACATCATATGCATTCCCCATCTCAATGGCCAAACGTATTTGGATTATATCTACATCTACCGGACAGGCGGCCCCGGTGGTTGCTAGACTAGTCTTTGTCTGACAGAGCGTCGCTGTCCACTTTTTTTGTTACTTTTTCGTCATAGAAGAAGACTATTTGAAGTGAGGCCAAAAGTCCAACCAATGACTTGCATTCTTGGAGGATGGCGTGCTCGGAAACAAGTTGATCAACATTTTCCCGTCTCAATGCAAAATTGCTCAATCCTTTTCGTCAAATACCAACAACTAAAGTGTGGTGCTTGGACAGAGTAGAGTAGTATTTTTTGAAATATTATTCAAAATTATTAATATAATATTTTTTGTAATATAATATATATATAAAATAAAAAATAATTAAAAATATAAAAAGATGAATTGCAAAATATGTTTACGATATATAAAAAGATATTTTTATAACATTATTTTGTTGAGCAAAATTAAGGTATCGCTGACACACTTTAATTCAGCTGATAAGAATGGATCACTGCTTAATAAAATGTAATGTATTCCAGTTTTGCTCTTAATGTGGAAGTAAGGGTATTATAATGTTAGTAAACGATTCGTTAAAACCCTTACCAGCGATGAATGGTCTTGACAAATATATCCTAATTTATTTATGATAATGACCGAACCGAAACCATCTAGCTTTTTTTTTTTATAAAATTTATTTATTAGCCGAAAACAAGCAAAGTCCGAAACGAAACGCAGCGTGCAACTTTTGACCATGACATCCTCGCATGGGGCACTTGATAATGATTCTTTTTTTTTTTGTTTTTTTTTCGGGGGTCGGCTGAAACTCATAACCCACTTAACACATTCTCAGAAACCCCATAATGTCATGCGACGACGACATTTGGAACTCGATCGGCTGACAGGCTGCCTTAGAAAACTAAAAGCTTCACAGCCCAGATCTTCTGCAGCAGCCTGGATCTTAACCTTCGGGCCTGAATATTTGAATCCACACTGACTTGGCGGAGAGAAGTGCCCTGGATACACATTGGGAAAGAATTTTCACGTCTTACATTAATTTGGACTTTGGAAAATCTAACATTAATTTGGACTTTGAAAAATTTAATAGGTTTGTTTGGATGAGATATTATTTGAAATAATTATTGTAATGTGATATATGTAAGATAAAAAAATATATTTATAATATAAGCGAAATATTATTTAAAATAATTTACCATTCAAACGCTCCCTAAAAAAGTTATTATTTAAAATAATTATCGTAATATTTTTTTATGATATAATGTATATGAAATAAAAAATAATTAATAATTTATAAAAATGAATGAAAATAATGCAAGCAAGCAAAATATTATTTGAAAAAATTTTCCCATCCAAACATATTTAGTATCAATTATCTTCACCATCTGCTATGCTAATCAGCTGGATAACAGCTGTAGTGTTTGTGATGCAAGCAACATAGCTGCTTAACTGCTACTAGTATTAAGCAACAAAGATGATCTTCAGGCTAACACAAACTAAGAACAGGCAAAATTAGCCTAATTAGATTAGAAGTATCCACAAGACAAACATACGGTACCTAGATTTTACCTCTAGCCTTCTAGTCCCCTCCCTTGAGCATAATTTGACAACCAGAGATGCGTTCAATTCCAAAGTGTAAGGGATAGCCCGATTGATCAACCCTCAAGTAAGATCATTTCAGCACATACAGGCAAGGAAGAGCCATTTCCGTCAAGCAGACCAGCCTGTTCTTACCCTTTGCAATGTTAAACCAAGGAAAGTATATGAACAGCTTTCCCCAACAAATCTCAAGCATGAAATTTAATCACTAATGAACCAACACATATACTCTCCTATACAAGGAGTTTGTATTGTAAGATATAAAGGACCCATAAAAATGATACACATGAATGCATTAATCAATCTAAACAACCATCATCCTGATGACACATAAGGCACAATAATGTTTTGTCAAGAGAACCAAAATCTGGTGCCAATGGACTTGCTTACAGATAACCAAAAAGCAATAGTAAAATGTTACTACTAAATGCAAAAAAAGTTGAATGATGATCCCCATTACTAACAATAATGGCAATTTCCATTAATGTTTACCATAAGCTGCATGAAATACGCAGCACAATATCAGCTACCAATCCTTACATTAAAGACCCCCCTTATACATACACAAGGGAAGCAACCACAATTTTTACAGTACAATACGACCCAGGCGAAGGCCATACTTCGCCTTGAGAATGCACCATCTTTCACACTCTTATGTACAACAAACTGGAAATTTGGTATAACCCCAATTCAAGGAACAAAAAACCAAACACAAACAGGTTATCACTATCTGAAGTCTGAACTAAACCAGCATGAAATTCTTCTCTTTTTTTTTTATTATTCATTTTCTTTTTCAGATAATTCAATAGCAGCACTCAGGGCAACGAATCAAGCCGTTCTCATTGCACTCCGGGCACCGCTTAAGTTGCTCATCATCCTCGTCAAATATTTTACGACTTCCACTGCAATTTGAGCAGGGGACGAACCTGGCATCCCCACAGCCTTCGCAAATGTACCCTAACCCAGGCTTTACTGCTCGAATAGGCAATCCTTTGAGCATTTTGGCGAGCTCGCCCGCCTCATTCAGCTGCCTCACAACATCAGCTCCACCAATATACTTCCCCTTGACAAACACCTGAGGTAAACTCACGGTTTTCTCCCCCAAAACGCTCTGTAATTCCTTCCTGTACGCGCTGTCCATGGAAATATCCCTCTCGTCTAAATTTATGCGAAAGCCCTTGAAGATCATCCGAACAGCGCAGCAATCGGCGTAGGTTCTGCGGATTCCCCGGAGGCTGGTGAAGTAAATGACAACTCTGTCCTCGGTACCAGGCAGGCGGAAATGGGGGGGATCCAAACTTAAGCTTTTCGCGGGTCTGGAAGAGGAGGACAATGATGATGAGGATAAGGATGATGGCTGGGGTGATAAACTAGGGGAAGATTGCGGCGGGGGTTTCTCGAAGAGGGAACGAAGCTTCTGAACCTTACCCCTCAACGAGTTTCCCGCCGAAGCCATTGAGCCAAAAGGGGAACCATACAACTTCTTGACGGAGCCGGTGCGTTCGAGAGGAAGGAGGGGGGTTTTGGTAAATTCGTACGCTGGGTTTGGGTTGTGCAGCGTTAAGGATCGGTTGAATCTGGAAGTAGCTTTAGGATTTTCAGAGAAATCATCATTGTTGAGAAAGGCCATAACTACCGATTGGAAATGATGTTCCTTTTTTTTTTTTGGGCCTCAAAAGATATTAGGGTTCTTCTTTACTAAATTTTACCCCAAAAATAAAAAAAGGGCAAAGATCGATGATATCGATCGCTAATTGAGGAAATTTAAGAAAGAAAGAAAGAAAAAAACAAAAGAATGATATAAGACCAACCAAGGTCGGATTGTTGCTGGAGAAAGGCGGAGGAGGAGGTGAGAGGTGGCGGAGATGGGCGGTGTTTGATATTTTTTCAGCTTTCGGTCTATTTGTTGGTGAAATGATGGAAGGTAGAGAAAAGGTGTACTTTTCTGAAAGAGGCGTGGACACAAAGCAATTCTATAGATACAGAAATTAAAAATAAAAATGAAAAAATCGATTACTTTTCCAAGATGGAAACATAATGAGGAGATTCCGCTGCAGACAATTGACCCATTCGGGCCACACGAATTATGTATCCGAATCGTCTCGTGCAGACAAGTCCGGTAATAAGGAGGCTGTTGGTGAGTTGGCTTTAACAAGTCCGAACTCGGCCCATTTAGTACTTGACATTTAGGACCTAAAGCTTGGCTACAGGAACAGATGGAGACATTTTCAGATTAGCATTAAAGAAATAAATGTCAATGCGAGAAACAGAAAGGGGAAACAGAAACTCGAATTGGAGAAAGGCAAATTTGTGAAGGGATTTATTTTTTAGGTAAAGCAAAATAACTTCTTCTTTCATAAGTACAATTGGTACCGCTATATATATATTTTTTCGAAATCGGACCCAACTAATTTAAACAAACGCAGGAGTTAATCGAAAAGCCGGCCCGAAAGCAATCTAAAGAGGACCCATAAAGAACCACTGTTCAGCCAATTGGTAATTAGTACCGTTATATATCTTCACCAAATTGGCAAGAAACACAACCAATATTTTTTACGTTTTATTAAAGGAGTTTGGAGATTTTCTAATGAAATTTTCAGTGACAAACTTTCGTTCCGCGCGAATACAATATATATATATATATCAAGTAATTGGCTTCATGATGTTCTTAAGATAAGTTCCCCCATTAAATCCCCACAATGACCAGACCGAGAAAAAATAAAGAGAAAAAGGAGTACAGCTTTAGAGAAATTGAAAAAGATTGTTTTTCTATCCTTTGTTTTTCGATATCAGAGAATAGTACAATACATTTTCTTATAAACTAAAAAAAAGGAGAGATAGAGAGAGGGAGACGAAGAACTGAATAAGCATCTACGATCAACTACCTGATTGTATTCAGCAGCCATAGAGAATTTAGGCTCAATAATTGATTCATCAAGAAATTTCGCAGCTGAGTTACCACCCAAGGCTGAATTCATTCTCTGCGGAATGTTCAATTCCACAGAGGGCCTCTAATTATTACAAACTTGAGCTAGTAAATAGGCATCAAAGATGCAAGTGAGACGATCATAACAGATTTCCACAAGACAGAAGATGGCATGCGACCCTTGTCAGTGCGGAAGAAGAGTGCTTGGTACACAGGTATGTTGATCATTATCAGTAATCCAGAAAGGATGATTGGTGGGATAAACTGCTGGAAAGCCCTTGATGATTCGGTAGCCAAAACAACTCTCCGGATACCCAAAAGGAAACTGAAAAGGTTCAGGAGTGCAATTGTTGCTATGATAGTAAACATGATCGATGAGCTTCCAAATTCCAAGATTTCATTCTCATATCTCTTCATTACATCATCGTCAACCACCTTGGGTGTGAGAACGAATGTTGTTTGGGAGAGGCCTAGTTGCCTAATGACTGTGTCGATGAAGGCAAGGAAGTATGCAGTGGTTCTACGAAACAACCATATTCTTTGCGAGTTCCACCATGATTTCAATGTATCCCCACAGCTAAGAGCTTCAGCTAAGCCGTATGCGTATTTCGCAACAAAAACATATGCAAATGGAAGAAACCACAGGCTTGAAACCTGCAAATCAACAGGACAGTTTATCGAAGATTTTTATCTATGCTCCATAGAACACGTACTTAGAAACGGGAGTTTTGCTGGAATTTAATGAAAAATGCAAGAATTTGAAGGTTCAGCATCTACGCACCTCCGGAAATATTCGAATGCCATGAAGTAAGCAAAGACTAGGAGCAACTGCATAACAAAGCGTGCCAAGGGAAATGGGAGCCCATAAAAGGTAGATACAATATCCCATTTGGGCACCCAGTTTGATCTTGCCATGGCCATAAATGAAAGGACAATACTTGGATAAGAAAATCTGGAACATGCCCTCGGACCACCTCTTACTCTGAACAAGAGATTGATCTAAAGTTGTAGCAGCAATTCCCAGAAAGGCATATCTACTTGGATTGTGATAAATTGGTCTCCATCCCCTGCACTGAATCGCTAGGCCTGTGACTATATCTTCCACTGGACATCCATAGACCAATCCCATCTGCAAATTCAACAAAGTTATCATTATTAACTTGTCTTAATTGTGGCCTCTTTTCTGTATATACATTTCTATCAAAATGCATGTTGGTCCAGTGATGTGTGTTGGAAAGAGACCTCTTTTCCCCATTGAGTTCCATCTTCATAGCTACAGTTTGCAACTTGTTTAGATGCTTCTTCCAACTCTTCAACAGGCCTACCTTCGATTTCATGTTTCACGCTCTTCAGTTCACTTCTGTTATCCTCGGAGAATTTCATTCCGCAAAGACTTGCTCTCCTGTGAAAGCATCCAGTACCACAGTAAAGGGCACCACCGTTACCATCGATTCCAGCCAGCTCAATCTTCTCATGGGAAATTTAAGGTTTTAGTCTGCTAGATGTCCGAAAATGCTGACACAGAAATGAATGAGGATTGAAGGTTTACCTGGTGAACAACTCTGGCCACACTTGAATAGATATCATGTTTAGTGATGTTATGGTATCTTTGTGGATATTGCACGTAGGAGGTTCTATGCCCTTGTTTTTCATCCATAAAGAAGCATAATGAATCTCGAAGTGCATCTGAATCATTCGAGTACATATCACAGTCCAAATTGAGGATGATCGGTGCATTACTTATTTTTGATGAAACTCTTATCTGCACGAAAGTTCGAAAGAATGTTTGGCTGAGACGATGCTAAACTTTAAACAGCTCCATTTTGTATATGCGACTCACAGAAGCTCTCAAACAAGGTCTAAGATTAGCTGCGAAATCTGAATGTGCGAAGTGTGCAAAAACAATCTTCGGAAGCAGGAGGGTTTTAGTAATATACCAATGCATTCATAGATCCGGCCTTGAAGTGGTGTGGCCGTTGTGGCCTTTTCTCCCTGGACAAGTACACCAGAGTAGGCAACTGATGTCCATCAATGTCAACAGAGTTGGGATTTCTTCTGTCAATTAATATCTGAAAACGTAACGAAGATCTTAAATCCTAATTTCATTGTGTACCTTTTAGAGAGAGAAGAATTATATCAAAGCTAATATTGGTACATATTACTATGACAATTATTCTGATCTACTTCATGAGTACCTGAACAATAGACTGATGATCATTCCTTGCAATTAAGGAATTCCACTCTGAGAACCCCTTGTGTTTTTCCTTAATCTCTTTTGGGATGCCTCCCTCTTCAACAACTGTTTCAATCCTACTCGCCATGTCTTCATATAATTTCTGAAGGAAAAACCAAAAAGAAAGAAAATTTCAATCTATCTAGAAAACAGAGGAGGCTAGCAACATTTTCCCCCCCTCCTTTACCATCATTTCATTAGTCTTCTTCACAAAGATTCCATGACAATCACTACTTGAACAAGTCAAGCATAATAAATCCAACCTTACCTTAACTTTCGACTCCTCTTGAGCGAGAACAAGGTCGTGCGAGTCAAGAATATTTCTCTTAAAGTAGACTGCAGGAGCCCTGGGTTCCAGCTTGAACTTCTTGCAGAAGGGCAGCCAATACTTTGCGAAGTCAGAGACCTCCAAAAGAGCATAGAATGTGAATTCTGATCCTCCATCATCGGAAAGGTAAATGCTCAATTTTTCAGGAGGATAGTTATATGACATGGCCGACAATACAGTGTCAATCACCATAATTGGCGGCTCAACTACATGATCCGCTGTGCAAATAAAGATATCAACATCTGGCAATTTGTCTTCGTATCTGCAACATGGAATCATTGATCAAAACGCTAACAAACATTTTTTTCTTGTGCATTTAAAAAAAAAAAAAAAAAGTTCTTTCTTCCACGCCCCCACGTAGCCATTTTTTTGTAAGATTTCTTTTCGGCCTCATTACAATCAATTCCATGCCCTGTATACTTCAAATTTAAGGCTCATTAACCAACACCAGTGAAATGAATTCCTCTAATTGGTTAGCTTTAAAAATCAGTAGAGAGGACCTGTCACCTGAGTGAAAGCCTGTCTTTGAATGGAATCCTTTGGACAACGTTCCAGCGAGCAGACTGAGTAATGATCCAGTAAAAACCAAACAAGAGCTCTGAGACGAACATGCCAATCCAAACCCATCTTCCAGGTTCTCCAACTCCAGGGATGTACGTTAATCTGTACAACCATATCAGCACTATGCTGACAAGTACTGTGAAAGCAAAAACTTTGTAAGCTGCAGCAACTGAACCTCCTTCTGCTGCTTTTGTCTCGAACAAAGAACGACCACTGTTTTCTTCTCTTGCTCCATTTTCAGTGCTCATCTTGCTCCTTCCACTCCACAGACCACGAATCTTATCCCAGACCTCGTTTTATTGTGAAACTTGCATATATAACGTGTTCAGATTTTATTGATATTATTAAATGTTCATTGACGTTTGCCACCAGCAGGTCCTTTGTCGTTCACTGGGCAGGCATTCCAGCCAATAATAATAACCACCGGTTTGGCTCACACTTGAAGTAAATGGTAATGGGTTTGTTTGGTAATGCTTGCACTGTTGTGGAAACAAACATATTTTTTAGTTTATTTGTTTATTTATTTTTGCATCGTCTTCAACAGCCCTTGACCAAATGCCTCTGATGGACTACCCTCCAAAACATCAATTATTATACCTCAAATCTCCGCAGCCTCCAGTTCTCCACCTCAAGTTTCCACTATGGTTTCTTGATTCAATAAAATGAATAAAAAAAAATCCAAGTTCTCCTTGTGATTCATCATGTTTCAACAAAAACCCAACAAAAGAGGGTTAAAACCATCGCCAATCCATGGCGGACCCATGGTTCTTTCAATCAAATCAGGATAAGAATTTAAGATATTCTTTGTATAATGATCTAAATTCACAGCCAATCAAATATAAACATATTATCCCGTAAAAATCACACTTTACAGTGAAATTACAAGATCTGTACATAAAAACACTCGTTGGTGCAAATGACAAAAACTAAAAAATATTCCATGAGGTAGTGGTGCTTGATTCTCTGGTTTTGATGTTAAATTTGATAGAAGAGAAAACTCCGTAAATGATAGTAGTGTGAGAAGGGAAGGGAGCAGAGGGAAATTAATTAGTTATGAAGAATACAACAAAGACCATAGGAAAATTTGTGATGCTTTTGCTCTACTGTTTTCTTTTTTTTTTTTTGGGTTATGTAAAATTGTTTCGCACTTAACCCTTCGAAATCCATTTGAAAGTGTCTAATTTGGTCGGAAATGAGTAATGACCATTGTTGGCCACTTCATACTGGTGGAGCCACACCAACAGATGCCAACCAAATATCCTGTGCGACATTTGAGATATGAAATCCATAGATAATTAGATAGTGGCGATTTCCCCCAACCAACGGGTACTAATAAGCGCTATGGAGCCGACTCCAGAATCAAACGTTCAAACTTTGACAATATGTCTTCTAGTTTTGTCCACTACCGGTGTTTGGAAGGTTGGGTTGACTCTCTTGCGCCAGTCCTTTTGAGGATTGCGGCCACCCCTTCAGTTCAGGGTTGATGATAATTGAATGGTGGTAGACTAGTTTGGAATTAAGTATACGCAAGGGATAAGGGGCCAGTTTTAGTGATTGCTTCAAAAAAGAGGCTGGTCTTAGTGACAAGTCAGTTGTCTTTTTTGTCGAGTTCATCTTGAATTGGCAAGATCACGACACATCAGTCTTTACAGATGATTACAGGATCGCGCAGACATACGTCTGTGTTGCACTTTGCTACCTTCGGATACTCCAAAAAAGTTCATGCAGGTTTGACGCAGAATAGTTAGCAATAGATTACTAAAAGAGCAATAGATTGCATGCATGCAAAATACATATAATCTAAATTAGCTAGTACTAATTAATACTGCTACTTGGGCAAAGAACGTTTCTTGCGTAAATAACCAAGTCCAGGAACAACATCAAAAATTGATCACCGATCACTGCCTAACCAAATCGGGGACGCACTTGGAATCATGAGCCTGCTGGGTTACAGCAGGTTGCCAGAAGAACCATCATCAAAATTGGCTCAGCTGATGGTGGGTTCTCTCTTGCTCATGCCTTCGGCTGCATGCTGCTATTGCTGGGACTCCATCCTTCGCACAGCTTTGAGGGGGCATTCATTCACATCAATCTCTCTCTGGAGTCTGGACCTGTTCTTCTTCTTCTTTGGCTAATTCCCTCCTCCCATGTTGCTGGTGCCACTCTACTTTTTCGGTGGCCATGACGCTAGCTGCTGATTAATCGATGATGATAATTTTCCTAGCTAGCTGCTACGTCTCTTCCCATTGTTGTGTAGTGTACCTATATATTATATTATATATATGCACGATGCTAGGCGGTAAATAACTGATGTGTGCTCTCCATAGAAGACAGGCACACCGCATCCTAATCTTCATTGTTCCGGTGCTTGACAAGTGTTGGAATACAGCATCATCCACTGAAGACGCATTCTTCCTTCCTTCCTTCCTTCCTTTTTCCTGTTTAATGTACAAGCTTTTTAAATAAATAAATAAATGAAGTACAGCCAAGGCTCCTTGAGGAAAAGTTTGAATACCAGCCTGGTCATGACCGTTGACATTGTTTTTTTCTTTTGATGGTGTCAGCCCGGTTGCCATCAGGTATTATTATTATTATTATTATTTTAGCAATATATGAAGGAATTGGCCGCCTCCAATGGATCATAGCTCTGCAATTGCCATTCTCAATATTCTAGGCTGTAATCGAACTGAACTGCTCATAAACAACTCAATTCAAATTCTAATTGACCAAATTTGAATCGAGTTTGAGTGGTTCAACAAGTCTAGCAAATCGAATTCGAGTATCCAATAATAAGGATCGAAGGTTCGTCAAGTCTTATCGAATTTTTCAATTTTAATTCTTTATTGTATTATTATTATTATGAAATTATCCTTGTATCCAAACAAGTGGTTAAATTTTTGAAATGTCTCGAGTCATACGAAAGTTTTTAAAAGGTAATAATGTCTTTTCAATCAAAATTACTAAGAGAATTTAAATTAGTAAATCTTTTTTACTCGAATTTGATAAGATTCATATTGACTTGAATCCACGCGAGTTGAATTCGAATTCCCATAATACTATCCGTTCGAGCTCGAGCGTCTTTTGTGCATGTCAAGTTGAGCTCGAGATTAACTTGATTCGATTATATCTTCAGCCAATCAGCACTGAAACCACAAATGTGCAAACTAAAACAACAAGAAACGTATCGAAACAGTTGTTGGGCGAGAAATTTTCAATAAGCGAGAAATATAAGGAGATAAACGGGTTATTGGTGCTTGTTGAGAAACCAAACAAAATCATGGCCCAAAAACTTGGGCCCTTTCAAGAGCAAACTAGTAGATCCAACTCCACCTTGTTAGTTTCGTTTTGGGTGTGACCCGTGGGCGAATGCCATTGGCGGGGGCCCGCTGCAGAAATGGAAAGTGCTGGAGCCGAGAATAAGTTAAATGAGACACAACAACGATATCACGTCCTATCGTTTCCAAAAAAAAAAAAGAAAAAAAACAACGATATAATATAACGCGTTTTGAGGAAATTTCTGGGGGCCCGAACGGGAAGGCGTGCCTTATCAGAAACGCGGGGCCCGGTCTAGCAGCTCTGCTTGGTCGATTTAATCCCAAACTTGAACAAACTCTGCCATAGCCCAAACTATACGGATTAATTTTCCAAAAGTCTTGTCTCCTAAATTATGGTTGCCTGCTTTTATGTGGCTGGGTGGTAAGTGTGCCGGTTGCATGATAAGACAAGACAAAGGCTTGATATTCTTAGAAAGGTTTTTGTGGTTGGTGGATCTGAATATGCATTCTTTGATTTTCTTGTACAAAATTATTGTAATTAATGCACAGATTTCTCAAATTTCTTGTAAAATCAAACTATTTACTAAAGAACTTCTAGTTTTTGTTTTTCGGTTTATCTAACATGTACCCTATGAACCCTCGTTAACATGTATTTCAAGTGTTAAATTTTTAAGAATATAAAATTAAATAGGAAAAATGATCAATGCACAAAAAATAGTAATTATTAATATATGTATATACATAATAAATAAATTTGGTAGAATGTAGTTGTGTTTGACGAATGTCCACATTAAAAAACACTTTTTTTTTATAGCAAATATATGACGCGCAATGGTCAAAATTAAGCACCGCGCCATGCGTATCATTGATGGTTCATTTGTGCTTGATTTAAAATCAGACGAACGAGATTAATTGCAAGGTATAAATCTCAACGCGTGACGAAATTTTGAGTCTCATAAATAGACTAATGGATAACCCACCTCCTCACTATTAGAATTCCTACGTTTGTATGTATCACACAAAAATATCATAATTTAACTCTATTTGTTATTGTAATACATACCTTACATGACATTTAAGTTGGTCAATGATTGTCCTCATCCTTTGGAGCGCGACAACGACCGATACTCGTTATGGCATCATGACTTCCTTTTCGTGGCTTAGACTTTAAAATAAGATTAGGATGAGAAATTCTACGTAAATTTTTTTTTTTTAGAACGTTTTTTCACCTATTTATTTGTGAACTATCTTTTTTTTTAAAAAAAATCTCAAATATATGTTATCTCAACAATCATTACAATTCCAAGCTATCAGTTTACTATAGTATCAAGACTCACTCTAAACGTAATCATATGTGTCATGAATAAAACTATTAAACTATAATTCAATAAGACGTCTTTTGGATTTTTTTTTTTTTGTTCAAGAGAATTTCTAAGCTTTATAAGGAAAAAGGAAATGACTTGAAAGTTCTGATTAATATTCTTACTAACGTTAAGTTATGAGGACTCATTTTAAAAATTTGTTTCAAGAGAGAATTACAGTTTTGATCTTAAATATTTTGAATATGAGTACTAAAGTTTGGATGAAAGCAACTATAGTTCCAAAATATTTCATTTTTTATGCATATTTAGCCCTAATGACTGATTTTTATCAATATCTACCGAAATCAGGTAATCCGCTAGCAACTATTTTTCGAAAAATTTTAAAAAATAATGAAATATTGTTGGCCATAATTTTGTAATGAAAAAAAAAATGACTTATTACTCATATGCTAGTCACAGTGTAATCTTTTGTGATTTTGTAACATTGTTAAATCTGATGATTTTTTATATTAGATATATCTATGACACATTCCATATATTTTTTACTATTAGTGCAGATTTTTTTTGTTAGAAAAATCGTGTTGGACGATTTCTGGTTAGTACATTAATAATATTGGCTTCTGATTTATATAAAGTAACAATAGTAAATTCGACTAGGTTTTAAACCCTTCTTAGGAAGGTAAAATTGAATTGAAATATAGTTCAAAAGGAAAACACCCCCATTCTCAATCTTTTCAATGAAACCACAACTAATTTCTTTCTTTGCACCAAAGGTACATTCCAAAGGTGACCGAATGGTGCACAATGCACATATTCGAGTCCAGTCTAAAACTCAAATACACCAGCAGCATAATTAAGCGGATCTACACATATATTCAACATTATAGCTGTTAACGAGCGAGTCGAGCTCGAGCATGTGATAATCAAGCTCGACTCAAACCCATAATCGAGCCAACTCGAGCTCGCTCGATTAATAATTCGAGTTTCACAAACTATTCGAGATCGACTCGATGTGTTCGATAGAAAACTCAAACTCGAGTTCAAAATCGAGTCGAGCTTATCGAGGTTGAATTCGACCTTGTCGAGCCCATAGAGTATCAAATACACAATAAAAATAACGCTAATATCCCTACTATTCGAGCAGTTTCGAGTTTGAATTCGAGCCTATCGAACCTGTAGAGTATCAAATACACAATAAAATGACACTACTACCCCTACTATTCGAGCCTATCGAGCTTAAACGATAGCTCGACTCGTCTATTAAACGAGTATCATGTTGAACTCGAGTTTGACTCGTTTCTCTCAATAAACGAGCCAAGTCGAGTTCTTATTAAGTCGAATCGAGCTCGACTCGCGAGCTATCCGGTTCGATTAACAGCTCTATTCAACATCCCTATTGCAGGAAGCATCCCACGGCCCCCCAACAAAAAGGAATCTATCATCATCCCTTCCCACTGCCCCTGAGAGTATTGAAAACTAGTACAGTAGTATTTTTCTTCCTATCCTATTTCTACCATTAACTTTTAGATCGACAAGTGTTCGCACATGATGCACGTAATATAAGACGTGACCATAGCCCAGAAGACTCGTGAAAGCGAACCACCAAACCAACAAAGCCGAAACCATCCAAAACCTAACAAATATTAACAAAGCTCCCACAAATACAATCCCCAATTACATTACATTTCTCTATCTACTTTTCCATATAGTCAGCACGGACGCTGCCATTTGCTGACCTGGCATCCCGTCTTCTCTTCCCTCTGATTTGCCCGTCATCAACCATGTAAAGAAAAAAAAGAAAGAAAAATCTATCTTTTAGAGTTTTCAAAAATCAAATCTTTCACCTTCATATACTCAAGACTCTCTCTTCCTTCTCTCTCCTGTTGGCCCCAAAAAAAAAAAAAAGAACTCATCTTTTGCAGTCAATTTTACTCCGTATTTTTTGTTTGTTCAAAAAGAAATAAAGTTAGGTTTTGTGTGTTTTGTTTGTTTTCTCACGAGGGTTTAAACTTTTTTGGGGGACCGGAATATTTGTTGTTGAGGAAATTTTGAAGCCTTTGATAGATAGAGTGATGATTACTATGAACAAATTACTGATCAGGTAACCATTAAACTTTTTCAAAGTAGTCTGATGAGTTTTTGCCATTAAACTATTAATAGTATGTTTTTTTGCGCATAAAACTATCAAAAGTGTAAATGTTTTGCCATTTCATTTGACTTCACCATTAATTCTGTCAATCTAACTATTGATAATATGTTCCGTGAATCGTGTGGGCTTTTAGATCGGACAGAGTGGTTGAATCAGACGAAATGATTCAAAATTAAAACTTTTGATAGTTCAGTGGGTAAAAACATACTACTATCATGATTGAGTGGCCAAATCTTCACTGCTGAAAAAAGTTTAGTTGCTATTGTAGTAATTTGCTATTACCAACAATTATAGTTACATTTTACGGTCAAGAGTTCTTGAATCACTTCCAAAAACCTTTTGAGCCAATATATATACGCACACACATGTGCAATACACCATTCGCAATGAGTAAGATTAATTAGAAAGGTTACTTTGCTAATCAAAGTTCCTGTTTGCTGTTCGTTTCTAATAAGTAGAGTTCCTTTATTTTTTTTTTGTTATAACGAAGAAATTTTTAAATACAAGATTATAATTAAGAAAATCATATCGCTAGTCATTTGTTTAACCTCGTTGATTGAATTTGTTTAAAAGCTTGCCCAAATTTGATTCATCAACTAACCAAAAAACTTTTAAAACCCTCATATGATATGATTGTAGTGTTTCATAACTTTTTAACTAGATTCAGATCTTTGTTTTTGACAAATATAACACCTAAAGTTTGCATGTAAAAATTCAAGCAGTTGAAATTGTGTCTTTGGTAAAATCTTGTTCAAACTCAATTCACATTAACAATTGAGCCCAGTCCAATCATAAATTTAATATAATTATTAAAAAATTAAAACCAATTAGAGAGCATTTTGGTGTGGAACTAGCTAGACTTGTTTAGACACCCATGGATATTTTTGGACACAAATTATCTCTATAATACTACGTGTTATCCCCAGAGCAGAATTACATTTTTTTTATCCTTTAATTTCTGTGTACTTTTGAAATTTTACTACTACTTCCCTTCTCCTCTGCGTCTGTCTCTGTATAAATAGCCCACACAAAGAAAGAGGAGGCCTTTGCTGAGTGGTTTTAATTTGTATTTCTCGCTGCAGACCTATTTTTCTCTCTGTATAATTATCTCCGTGCGATCAACATTCACCAATCGTATCCCAAAACCCTTCTCCAAAAAAACCCTAGAAATTCACGATCGGCTAAAAAAGCAGAAAATTCATCTCTTCAATTCGTTTTATCGCCTCTTCATATCTTAATCTCATTTCTCCAGCGCCCGATCCGCCTCATTGATTTTATCTACTATTTTTCTTTTCAGTTTGCTGATAGAACTCATATCCGATCGATTCTAGGCTATAGAATCGGTCGACTTTGTAGTTTGTTATTCCAATCAGGCAATGGTTTCATTTGGTTGATTTCAATATGAAGTTGAAACGGAGGAGAGCCGTTGAAGTGGTTCGTAACCTTAACCTTGCTTATTAAACTACTTAGTTTATTGCTTGTTGAACTACTTAGTTGATTGAGTATTTGTTGAATTTTATGCTAAAGTTTTGTTCTTTTTTTTTTTTAATGCTGAATTATAGTTTGTACTTGTTACTGTATAGTTGAAGTGATTTGAACTGGGAGAAGATTGTTTTATTTGTGAAACTCATGCACGAGAATTGTAAAGCTTATTCTTTTTAGGAATTTTCACCTGTTTTTGTTGAAGTAGGGGTAATGTCGTTCTGTAAAACTCAATCCTTTCTACACAATTGAGCTTCTCAGTTGTCATTTACCAATTTTGAAAATGCTGGAAAGGAACAAGTGATACTCTTGGGATATTTTTCTGAATGCTGCTCGTATCAGCTCTTCAATTTTTATTTTTCTTATTTGTTTTTTAGAACTTGATATCTACTTGGAAAAAAAAGCATCAGTTTTACAAAACAGTGTACAGCGTATTCTAGTTTTTTCCATGGATATGTTCTGTTGTTCTGTTTGGATTATTAAGCTGTGATTTTTCTGATCTATGCTATTCCAATTTTCATCTACATTTCTATTATTTTTGGGATGTCGATGGATTAGGCTAATTCACTGGGTCATGTACGTGACTTTTGCTAATCGTTGTCCTTTCCGCCTTATTGCAGCCTCCAAGGATTAAATATTTCATCAACAATGTTACTTCTACTCCTCTTGAAAATATTGAGGAACCGCTGAAAAGTTTTGTTTGGGAGTTTGAAAAGGTGCACTTTATGAGTGTCATTAATTCTAGTTCCTTTGCAATGCATTTTCTTTCAGAGTTACTGAATTTCTAATTGATGCAGGGAGATTTTCATCACTGGGTCGATCTTTTTAATCATTTTGATACCTTTTTTGAGAAATACATAAAACCAAGGAAGGATTTGCAGCTTGATGACAACTTTTTGGAGTCTGATCCTTCCTTCCCTAGGGAGGCTATTATTCAGATTCTGCGTGTTATAAGGGTAATCTTGGAGAACTGCACAAATAAGCACTTCTATAGCTCATACGAGGTATACATCTTCTCATGAAAACTGGATTTGATCAAGCATCGAATTGTCTTGACTCCGATTTGCTTGGGATGGCCGTAAAATGTGTTTTGCTATTCAGCTGCAGTGTAAGATGCCAGTAATATTAAAAAGTGTTAACCTCTAACTACATGATTGAGAAAGCAGTGCACTGGGATAATGTTTAAGATAGTAATCTTTGAAATCCTATTAGTTGTTATGATGTGTTTTTCATGGAAGCCCACAAGATTATGAAAGTTTTCAGTTATTCTGAATCCAAATATTGCTTAATGTAGCAGCAGTTTTATAAAGTTTCGGGAAAAGGGAGAACATGCATTCTAATATGCTGTGGAATAGGACTAGATGCTGTGGAACTAGGAAGCCACAAAGTAAGTTGAGACTATGTACCTTGGATGAGTTTAATTGATCTATTTCAAAAGAATCGGATACATGGATTAGCTGCTGTTGAAGCAGAGGAAATGTGGAGTTGGTTAGTTGTAATAGGCATGCGGATCTACAATAAGATGAACAGTTTGTAAATATACATTTTAGAAGTGCTTATGGATATGAAAGTATTTTTCTGCTTACGGACTTACCTGTCAAAAGTTAGGCGAGATATAAATTTAACTTTTGACTCTTAATTGGGCAACTGAACTCATTGAACATCAGTTGGAAGTAAGGTACAGAATTTACACAGGAAAGCTTGGCTTTCGGGGAAAACACAGAGAAAAATTTTTAGCTGACTATATTAGATCTCTGCAAATGAACTAACATTTTTCGGAGTTCTGTTTGGAATTGTTTTCAAACTCCCATTTAGTTTCGTAAGCCCTGTCGTGAATTGGATTTGTGAAGTAAATTCATGTTCTAAGTTTGTTTAGTTAAGCGAAGATTATCATTGTATGACTACAAGAGTGAGTTTTTATTAGTGCAAGTAATTTGTTTTATCTAGTTTTTGTTACCTTATCAATTTTCTTTCAAAATTTTTACTGCCTTTACCTGCAGTTTAACCACGTACTTGTAATATTGGTGCAGCATCATTTGTCGTCTCTGCTTACTTCCACTGATGCAGATGTAGTTGAGGCATGCTTGCAAACTTTGGCTGCTTTTTTAAAGAAAACAATTGGGAAGTATATCATAAGAGATACTTCTCTCAGGTCAAAATTGTTTGCTTTTGCACAAGGTTGGGGAGGAAAAGAAGAAGGCCTCGGATTAGTTGCTTGTGCTGTGCAGAATGGTTCTGATGCAGTTGCTCGTCAGTTGGGTTGCACCTTACACTTTGAGTTCTATGCTGTAAATGAATCTTTAAATGAGTTAGGTACTGCAGAGCAACATCCCCAAGGGCTACAAATCATTCATTTGCCCAATGTTGATACCAGAAAGGAGTCTGATTTGGAGCTGTTGAATAAATTAGTTGTAGAGTACAGAGTTCCCCCTAGTTTGAGATTTTCTCTTTTGACAAGATTGCGATTTGCGAGGGCTTTTAGCTCCCTTGCCATGCGACAACAATATACATGCATTCGCCTGTATGCCTTTGTAGTTCTTGTTCAAGCATGTACTGATGCTGATGACTTGGTCTCTTTCTTTAATGCTGAGCCGGAATTCATCAATGAATTGGTTACCTTGTTAAGCTATGAAGCTGCGATCCCTGAGAAGATTCGGATTTTGAGTATTCTTTCCTTGGTTGCCATTTGTCAGGATCGAGCACGTCAGCCTACTGTATTGACTGCTGTAACATCTGGTGGGCACCGTGGTATTCTATCTAGCCTTATGCAAAAAGCCATTGATTCCATTGTGAATAGTTCATCAAAATGGTCTGTTGTTTTTGCGGAGGCTTTGTTATCTCTCGTCACTGTTTTGGTCTCATCATCATCAGGCTGCTCAGCCATGCGCGAAGCAGGATTTATACCTACTCTTTTGCCTCTACTTAAAGATATGGACCCTCAGCATTTGCATTTGGTCAGCATGGCTGTACATGTGCTAGAAGCCTTCATGGATTATAGCAACCCTGCTGCTGCACTTTTCAGGGACTTGGGTGGTTTGGATGATACCATATCACGTCTAAAGGTAGAAGTGTCTCATATAGAAAATGGCTCAAAGCAGCTAAGCTCTTCCATTGTTGACCTTGACAGTTCTGAATCTAGCAGTTCACAAGCAGTCACGGAGTCTTCTTCTGATCTAGATAACATGCAGCCTCTTTATTCAGAAGCATTGGTTGCATATCATCGACGGTTACTGATGAAAGCCTTGTTGCGTGCAATATCCTTGGGAACCTATGCTCCTGGAGCCACTGCTCGTATTTCTGGTTCAGAAGAGAGCTTGTTGCCACGTTGCTTATCCATAATTTTCAGGAGAGCAAAAGATTTTGGTGGTGGGTTGTTCTCTCTTGCTGCAACTGTGATGAGTGATCTCATTCACAAAGATCCTACCTGCTTTGGTGCTCTAGAAGAGGCAGGTCTTCCTGCCACGTTTATGGATGCTATTATGGACGGTGTATTATGTTCTTCTGAAGCTATTAGTTGCATACCGCAGTGCCTCGATGCCTTGTGTTTGAATAACAATGGCCTTCAGGCTGTGAAAGATCACAATGCTTTAAGGTGCTTTGTGAAAATTTTTACATCTAGGACATACTTGCGTGCCCTTACTGGTGACACTCCAGGTTCCTTGTCTAGTGGTCTGGATGAACTAATGCGTCATGCTTCACAATTGCGTGGACCTGGAGTGGATATGTTGATTGAAATACTGAACAACATTACAAAACTTGGTTCTGGCCCTGAATCTGCTTCCTCTACTGATTCGCCAGGCTCTACTGGACATGTCCCCATGGAAACTGATGTTGAGGATAAGTGCATGGCTGTAGCAGATGGTAGGGATTTGTGCAAGGTTGAAAGCTCGGAGCAAGCAGTTGAAACATCTTTGGATGCCTCAATAGTAAATATTGAATCTTTTCTTCCTGATTGTATAGGCAATGCTGCTCGTCTTCTTGAAACAATCCTACAGAATTCTGATGCCTGCCGTATCTTTGTTGAGAAAAAGGGAATTGAGGCTGTCTTGCAGTTGTTTGTGTTGCCTTCCATGCCTCTTTCCGTTTCTGTTGGTCAAAGCATATCTGTTGCATTTAAGAACTTCTCCCCGCAGCACTCTGTTTCTCTAGCTCGTGCAGTATGTTCCTTCTTGAGAGACCATTTGAAGGCGACAGTTGAACTTTTAGTTTCAGTGGAAGGCATGCCACTTGCTCAGCTGGAAGTTGCACAGAGATCGAAATTCTTGAGATGCCTTTCCAGTCTTGAAGGGATACTGTCTCTTGCCAATTCTTTGTTGAAGGGTACAACTACCATTATTTCTGAACTCGGTTCGGCAGATTCTGATGTGTTTAAGGATCTTGGCAGGGTTTATAGGGATACACTATGGCAAGTATCTTTGTGTTGTGACACAAAGGCTGACGAGAAGCGGAATGTTGAAGCAGAGCCTGAAAGTGCTGAGGGTGGTGTTTCTAATGCAGCTGGAAGAGAGAGTGACGATGATGCAAACATTGTCTCGTACAGGTATACAAATCCAGTTACTGTCAGGACGAGTTCTCACTCCCCTTGGGGTCTGGAACGGGAGTTTATTTCTGTTGTTCGTTCAAGTGAAGGTTTTAATCGTCGTAGTCGACATGGTTTGGCACGTTTAAGGGGAGCAAGGGCTGGCAGGCATTTGGAATCTTTGCAAATAGATCCTGAAAGTGCAGCTAATGGCACAGAGCCTGCTACCCAGGATTTGAAGAAGAAAAGTCCTGAGGTTCTTGTTTTAGAGACACTTACAAAACTTGCTTCCAGCATACGTACTTTCTTCACTGCTCTTGTCAAGGGATTTACATCTCCAAACCGTCGAAGGACTGAGACAGGATCTTTGAGTTCAGCTTCAAAAATCATTGGAAGTGCCTTATCTAAAGTTTTTCAAGAGGCTTTTGGGTTTTCAGGATATTCTTACTCTTCTGGGCATGAAATTTCACTGTCAGTCAAGTGTCGCTATCTTGGGAAGTTGGTTGATGATATGGTGGCTCTTACATTTGATGGTAGGCGTCGGACCTGTTACACAGTGATGATCAACAATTTTTATGTTCATGGAACTTTTAAGGAGGTTCTAAGAACATTTGAAGCTACAAGTGCGTTGCTGTGGACACTACCTTATTCGCTTCCAGCTTCTGGTCTTGATCATGAAAAGAATGCTGAGGAAGGCAAATTGTCTCACAGTTCGTGGCTGCTTGATACATTGCAGAGTTATTGTCGCCTTCTTGAATATTTTATCAATTCTTCTTTGCTGTTGTCTCCAACCTCAGCATCCCAGGCACAGCTGCTTGTGCAACCTGTGGCAGTTGGTCTGTCTATTGGATTGTTTCCTGTTCCTAAGGACCCTGAAGTGTTTGTTCGTATGCTGCAGTCTCAGGTTCTGGATGCTATAGTTCCCATCTGGAATCACCCTTTGTTTCCAAATTGTAATCCAGTTTTTATAACTTCTATTATTTCACTAATCACTCATGTATATTCTGGTGTTGGTGATGTTAAACAAAATCGTAGTGGGTTGTTAGGGAATACAAACCAACGTTTGGTGGCTCCACCACCTGATGAAGCTACCATTGCTACCATTGTTGAGATGGGGTTCTCAAGAGCAAGAGCTGAGGAGGCATTAAGAAGAGTGGAAACTAATAGTGTCGAAATGGCTATGGAATGGTTATTTAGTCATGCTGAAGATCCTGTGCTGGAGGATGATGAATTGGCTCGTGCACTTGCTTTATCTCTAGGAAATTCCTCAGAAGCATCTAAAGTCGATAACACAGAAAAATCAGTGGATGTTTTGGCAGAAGAGGAACAAATTAAGACCCCTTCTGTTGATGACATCCTTGCTGCAACAATGAAGTTGTTTCACAGTAGTGATTCAATGGCTTTCCAGTTGACAGATTTGCTTGTGACTCTTTGCAATAGGAACAAAGGAGAAGACCGTGATCAGGTGATTCCTTATCTTGTAAAGCAGCTAAAGCAGTGCCCCATGGAATTCTCAAAGGATAATAGTGCATTGTGCATGGTTTCACATACTTTAGCATTGATTTTATCTGAAGATGAAAATGCTCGACAAATTGCTGTGCAGAGTGGCATTGTCCCATTGGCAATTGATATCTTGATGAACTTCAAAGCAAGGACTACTTCAGGAAATGAGATTTTGAGCCCGAAATGTATTAGTGCTTTACTTCTAATCCTGGATAATTTGTTGCAATCCAGGCCCAGAATCTCTCGTGAAAGTACGGAAGAGACTGCAGCAGGACCAATACCTGACTCATCAGAGGAACATGTTGCATCTCCAGTTCTGGAAGATGTTGCTGAGAAAAAATCCACTCCTCTTTTGCAGGATAAAGAAAGTAGCACCATCTTTGAGAAAACATTTGGAAAACCTACAGGCTTTTTGACGATGGAAGATTGTGGTAATGTATTGATTATTGCTTGTGACTTGATAAACCAGCATGTACCAGCTTTGGTTATGCAGGCCGTTCTTCAGTTATGTGCTCGCTTGACAAAACAACATGCTCTGGCTTTGCAATTTCTTGAAAATGGTGGCTTGGCAGCTCTATTTGGTCTTCCAAGGAGTTGCTTTTTTCCAGGGTATGATACCTTGGCATCTGCAATTATTCGACATCTTATTGAAGACCCTCAGACACTGCAAACAGCTATGGAATTGGAGATACGACAAACTCTAAGTGGAAATCGTCATGTTGGTCGTGTCTCTGTTAGAACATTTCTGACATCAATGGCACCTGTTATATCTAGAGATCCAGGGGTCTTTATGAAAGCAGCAACTGCTGTTTGTCAGTTGGAATCATCTGGAGGAAGGACCACAATTGTGTTATCAAAAGAAAAAGATCGAGAGAAGGAGAAAGAGAAACAAAAAGCTTCTGGTGTTGAAGCTGGGATGGCTTCCAATGATTCTGTTCGAATATCTGATAATAAAATGCATGATGGACCTGCAAAGTGCTCTAAAGCCCACAAGAAGGTTCCTGTGAATCTCACTCTGGTGGTGGATCAACTTCTTGAAATTGTATTGACATTTCCATTGAAGAAAAGTGACGAAGATTTCGCTGCTTATGAGAATGCTATGGAGGTAGATGAATCTACAACCAAGATAAAGGGAAAGTCCAAGGTTGATGAGACGAGGAATGCTGAGACAAATAGTTTTTCAGAGAAATCTGCAGGTCTGGCTAAGGTGACATTTGTTCTCAAGTTACTGAGTGATATTCTTTTGATGTATGTACATACTGCTGGAGTAATTTTGAGACGGGGTATTGAACTGTCTCAACTTCGGGGATCTAATCAATTAGACTGCTCTGGACAGGGTGGAATCATCCATCATGTTTTACATCGGCTTCTTCCCCTTCCAATTGATAAAACTGCAGGTCCAGACGAATGGAAAAATAAGCTTTCTGAAAAGGCTTCCTACTTTTTGGTTGTTCTTTCCAGCCGCTCAGGTGAAGGGCGTAGGCGAGTGATTAACGAACTTGCAAAAGCATTATCTCCATTTTCAAATTCAGAAAGTAATTCATCCAGTTGTAGCTTTTTGCCAGATAAAAAGGTCCTTGCTTTTGTTGATTTGGTATATGCTATTTTATCTAAGAACTCATCTTCCAGTAATTTACCTGGCTCTGGTTGCTCTCCTGATGTGGCCAAAAGCATGATAGAAGAGGGGATGGCTCGGTGTTTGTCTGGCATTCTGCAGAAACTCGATTTGGACCACCCTGATGCTCCAAAAATTGTGAATCTCATACTCAAGTCTTTGGAAAGCCTAACAAGAGCTGCTAATGCTAGTGAGCAACTAGCAAAGTCTGACTGTTTGAACAAGAAAAAAGCTGTTGGCGTCAGTGGAAGATCTGATGAGAATGTAAATGTAACCTCAGCCTCTCGAACAGCAGAGTCTAATGGTCATGGAAACTGCCAACAGGAAGCCACGGGTGCTGCAAGTTCAGAACAACAGCCTCCAGAAAGCTCCCAAAATGGAGGTGATGGGGGTAGAGATTCAATCCAGTCTATGGAGCATGAAATGAGGATAGAGGAGTCTGCAAATGGAAATCCACCTTTGGAACTTGGGTTGGATTATGTGCGTGAGGATATGGAAGAAGCTGGTGTCATGGAAAACAGAGATCAAATTGGTATGGCCTTTCATGCTGAGAATAGGGTAGTTGATGATATGGGCGATGAAGATGATGACATGGGCGATGATGGCGAGGATGATGAGGATGATGATGACGGGGACGAAGAGGATGAAGATATTGGAGAAGATGGCACTGCACTGATGTCTCTAGCTGATACTGATGTGGAGGATCATGATGAAGCTGGTGGGGATGAATATAACGAGGATATGGTTGATGAAGAGGATGATGATTTCCATGAGAATCGTGTTATTGAGGTTAGGTGGAGGGAAGCCCTAGATGGGCTGGATCATTTACAAGTACTTGGGCAACCAGGAACTGGGGGTGGACTCATTGATGTTGCTGCGGAGCCCTTTGAAGGAGTGAATGTGGATGACCTTTTTGGCCTTCGTAGAACTTTTGGATTTGAACGTCGCCGTCAGATAAACAGAAATTCGTTTGAGCGATCTGCCACAGATAGGACTGGTCTTCGACATCCTCTCCTCTCGAGGCCATCACCATCTTCTGATTTGGTTTCAATGTGGTCTGCAACTGGAAATGCAGCCAGGGATGTTGAAGGTTTCTCTACCGGAAATCTTGATGCATCTCATTTTTACATGTTTGATGCTCCAGTTCTTCCCTATGACAATGCACCATCTAGTCTCTTTGGTGATCGAGTAGGTGGTTCAGCACCGCCACCATTGGCAGATTTTTCTGTTGGTTTGGAGTCTCTTCGAGTGCCTGGGCGAAGGGTGTCTGGTGATGGCCGGTGGACAGATGATGGCCAACCCCAAGCTGGTGGTCAAGCTGCAACTGTTGCTCAGGCAATTGAAGAACTGTTCATATCTCAAATGAGCAACAATGCTCCCAATCATCTGAATGAAAGGCTGTCAGAAAACACGTCTGCGAAACAGCAGGCAGATACCCTCTTGGTTGCTGATAGTCAAGTGCCACTAGATGGTGATAGCACTGTTGCTCAACAGCATGATGTACAAATTCAGGAGAATGATCCTGGAATTGATCGATTAGGTGAAGGTCAGTGTTCTCAGGAAGCAGTTGATCGGGAGGTTGTTACTGAACAAGCAGGTGATCCCCATCAACTGAGTGAACCTGCAGCCAATTTAATTTCGGAGAACACTCCAGAAGCACAGGATATCATGGAAACTGGGGAAGAAAATGGCAGTGCCATGGAGCAATTAAGTGTTATGCAGGGTTCAGTTGCCCCATCAATGTACTCACAGGCTGATCCAGTTGGTTCTAGGAGTTCTGATGGACTTGGTAGTCCCCATTATTTGCACCTGCAAAATTTAGGCCATCATAGCCCTTCAGCAGCTGATAGTCAGTCTAGTAATCATGCACTTATAATTACTGGGTCAGATATGCCGGATGCTACTCTTAGTCATGCTTCTTCTGTCAATGCTGATGTTGATATGAATGCAGTGTTTATGGAAGGAGACCAGTCTTATCAATTGCTATCTACTTCGGACGTCAACGGAGAGGAGCCATCCTATAGGCAGATTGAGGTTGTCCAAGAGGCTAGTCAGACTGATGAAACTAATGTGAATAATGACGCTTCTAATGGCAATGGTATTGATCCAACCTTTTTGGAAGCACTTCCTGAAGATCTGCGAGCAGAAGTTCTTGCCTCACAGCAAGCCCAGTCCACTCAGCCTCCAACTTATACTCCACCAGCAGCTGAAGACATAGATCCAGAGTTTTTAGCAGCTCTTCCTCCAGATATACAAGCAGAAGTTCTGGCACAACAAAGAGCACAAAGGGTTGCACAGCAGGCTGCTGGGCAGCCTGTTGAAATGGATAATGCCTCAATTATTGCCACTTTCCCGGCTGATTTGCGTGAAGAGGTTTGCACTTTCAACTGTTTTCTTTTGTCCTTTAATTCTGGTGATAACTTATGCTGCTTGTTCCAGGTGCTTTTAACATCTTCAGAAGCAGTTTTATCTGCTTTGCCCTCTCCTCTGCTTGCTGAAGCACAAATGCTGAGGGACAGAGCAATGAGTCATTATCAAGCTCGCAGCTTGTTTGGAGGTAGCCACAGGTTTAACCATCGGAGAAATGGCTTGGGCTTTGATAGGCATGCGGTGATGGACCGAGGTGTTGGGGTTACAATTGGCAGGAGGGCGTCGTCTTCTATTACAGAGAGTTTGAAGTTGAAGGAACTTGAAGGGGAGCCACTCTTGGATGCAGACTCCTTGAAGGCATTGATTCGTCTCTTGCGATTAGCACAAGTAAGATATATCTCATTGACTACTACTAGTAGTTCTTTGAGAACCTTGATACATTTTGTTACTTTGTTTTTTCTAACTCCATGTAGTTATCTGTGTATTTGTGAGTTAAGGTGGTACTCATACTTTTCATGCTTTCAGCCTCTTGGTAAAGGTCTTCTGCAACGACTCTTGTTGAACTTATGTGCGCACAGTAGTACAAGAGCCATTCTTGTTCGTCTTCTGCTTGATGCCCTCAAGCCTGTAAACGAAGGATCAGTTGGTGGACTGACAACATCGAATTCACTAAGGCTTTACGGGTGTCAGTCCAATGTTGTTTATGGCCGATCTCAGTTGTTTGATGGTATTTCTCCTTTCTGCTGAATGTAAGTAGTTTGTGGTTCCAAAATTTGATCTTATGGATGATTTCATTCCTTTGCAGGCCTTCCTCCACTGGTGTTGCGTCGGATTCTTGAGATTTTGACTTACCTTGCCAACAATCATTCAGCTGTTGCCAGTCTTCTGTTCTTTTTTGATTCTTCTCTTGTTCCAGAGGCCCTAAATGCAGACACTTCAGAAACCAAGAAGGATAAAGGCAAGGAGAAAATGTTGGAAGGAGACAACCAATCAAACAGTTTGGGATGCTCTGAAAAGGGCGATATCTCTTTGATATTGTTTCTCAAACTCTTGAGTCAACCTCTGTTCTTACGCAGCATTGCTCATCTTGAGCAGGTGTGCTCAATATATTTGTGGCAGTGATACTCTCTTTATGGTTTCATAAATTCTTGTCTATGTTTTTTCGCCTAGTTTACCTGTGTATGTTTCTTAATTTTAATTATGCAGGTCATGGGTCTCATTCAAGTGGTGGTACACACTGCAGTATCCAAATTAGAATGTCAATCTCATTCTGAAGAAGCAGCAGCTCACATTCAAAATCCATCCAGTGGTGGGAATATTGGTGATGTTGAGAAAGACAGTTCTTTGTTACCAGTTGAATCAAATCATCAAGATGATGAAAGCAACCCTGCTAGGAAATCCACCCCACACTGTGAGAAGAACATGAACATCTATCATATATTCTTGCAGCTTCCACAATCTGATCTGCACAATCTCTGCAGCATTCTTGGCCATGAGGGGTAATTCTTTCCCACTATGCTGTAGCTATGGTGTTGGGTAGTTATTTGTTTGCCTGTGGATTGTGTTTCCTGTAGATTATCTATTGAATTGTAACTTTCATTTAATGTTTTCGCTAAATTTTGTTCACAAACTCTTCCCTTTTGGCTGCTGGCACCCTTTATAAGAGAAACAAAAGGAGAAAAAAGAGTTAAATGTATTGACATGTAATCAACTTCGTCATAATTAATCTTTTGTTCATCAGGCTTTCAGACAAGATTTACATGCTTGCTGGTGAGGTGCTGAAGAAGTTGGCCTCTGTTGCTGCTCCTCATCGCAAATTCTTCATTTCAGAGCTTTCAGGCTTAGCTCAAGAATTGAGCAGCTCAGCTGTTAATGAGCTTATCACTCTTAGAAATACACACATGTTGGGTTTGAGTGCTGGATCCATGGCTGGTGCTGCTGTTCTTCGGGTGCTGCAAACATTAAGTACATTCACTTCTGTGAGCAATGATAGTAACAGGGACACAATGACTATTGAGGAACAGGAAGAGCATGCTAATACGTGGAAGCTAAATGTGGCTCTGGAACCACTGTGGCAAGAACTGAGTGAATGCATTAGCGCTATGGAGTCAGAGCTTACACAAAGCTGTTTGTCTTCTGTTATGCCCAATGTTAACATTGGGGAGCATATACAGGGTTCTTCATCTGTGTCTCCGCCTCTTCCTCCTGGAACTCAAAGACTTTTGCCATTTATTGAGGCCTTCTTTGTCTTGTGTGAGAAACTACAGGCACACAATTCTTTCATTCACCAAGATTATGCTGATGCTACTGCAAGAGAGGTGAAAGAGTCTGCAGGGAGTCCAGTTTTGTTTTCTAGCAAATACAGTTTGGATTCTCACAGGAGAATTGATGGGACTTTGACATTTACTCGGTTTTCTGAGAAGCATCGTCGCCTTCTAAATGCCTTTGTCAGGCAGAATCCTGGGCTGTTGGAAAAGTCTCTTTCTATGTTGCTGAAAGCGCCACGGCTTATTGATTTTGACAACAAGCGAGCTTATTTCCGCTCAAGAATACGGCAACAGCATGAGCAACACCTCTCAGGGCCTTTACGAATAAGTGTCCGGCGAGCATATGTATTAGAGGATTCATACAATCAGTTGCGGATGCGACCAACTCAGGACCTGAAGGGCCGACTAAACGTCCATTTTCAAGGTGAAGAGGGTATTGATGCCGGTGGGTTGACACGAGAATGGTACCAACTGCTCTCCAGGGTTGTATTTGACAAAGGGGCTTTGCTATTCACCACTGTGGGAAACAATGCTACTTTCCAGCCAAACCCAAATTCTGTCTATCAGACTGAACATCTCTCTTATTTTAAATTTGTAGGCCGCGTGGTAATGCTTGAGGATTTTTTGTTCCTTATTTTTTGAATCCTTAGTGTCTTTTGTATTCTTCCTCGAACTTGCAGCTGTAATCATGTCTAGTAAACACCTTTTGTAGGTTGCTAAGGCACTGTTTGATGGGCAACTGTTAGATGTGTACTTTACGCGATCATTCTACAAGCATATCCTTGGTGTGAAGGTGACTTATCATGATATAGAGGCTGTTGATCCAGATTATTATAAAAACCTGAAATGGATGCTGGAGGTGAGTTGCATAATGTTTGCATTGGTTTATTATTAATACTTTTTGAGTGGCTGATGGTTTATTTAATGCCTTCAGAATGATGTGAGCGATGTACCTGATCTCACATTCTGCATGGATGCTGATGAAGAAAAGCACATTCTGTATGAGAAAACAGAGGTATTCAAGTCACAGTTTTTCTGTTTATGGTGTGCATTACATATTGAACATAGTTTGAAGATTCAGATCTCTTTAAGTTTCTTCTACTATTTAATGGGTGCTCATTAGGGTGAAGTCGCTAAGAATCTAATTCTTCTTTATTTTTCTGATAAATAGGTAACTGGTTATGAGCTTAAACCTGGCGGAAGCAACATAAGAGTCACAGAGGAAACAAAGCATGAATATGTGGATCTTGTGGCTGACCATATTCTGACAAATGCAATACGGCCTCAAATTAATTCCTTCATGGAGGGCTTCAATGAATTAGTGCCAAAGGAACTTATATCTATCTTTAATGATAAAGAGCTTGAGCTGCTAATAAGTGGTCTTCCAGAAATAGATTGTGAGTTTGTTGGCTTCCAATGCTTTATATTTGTATGAAATTATTACTTTGTCCTTTTAAGTATCTTAATGGTGATTTCCTTTGTAGTGGATGATTTAAAGGCCAACACCGAGTACACAGGATACACAGCTGCATCTTGTGTTGTTCAGTGGTTTTGGGAAGTTGTCAAAGGCTTCAATAAGGAAGATATGGCAAGATTATTGCAATTTGTTACTGGTACATCTAAGGTAATCTGGTGTCCCTTAAGTAATTTTGATCCGACATTTGTTATTAATAACTTTTAATAGCTTGCATGCTGCTTATAGATTGATAACTTAGTTATTGTGGAGGTATAACTAGTGAAGGAGTTCTCAGAAAAATCTGAAAGTGATAGCTTAAGTTTCTTGGATATTTTATTTACTAGAAGAGGGATTTGGAGTCATGGCTATAATTGGCTTTGAGAAAGTTGACAAATTGGGAAAATGCTTCAGTTTATTTTGGTGGAATAAAATAGGTGAATAAAAATTATTTACGTAAATATTGAGAAGTATTGAAATACTTCTTTTGGAGTGTTAGATAAATAAAGTACACAATATCACTATGTAAATAGAAATGTTTGTTATCTCAACAACTAAACATGGGATATTATTCTTGTAACAATGACCTTTGTTGTCTTCACTGAAATAAACTGTAACAAAAAATGAGATTGGTACAGCATGAGTGAGACAGATGTTTACTCAGTAATACATGATGTAATTTTGGTTCAATGAGATTTCAGAAGTCATTTCTTAGCTCCGCTTTTATTTTCTTAGGTTCCTTTGGAGGGCTTTAAGGCATTGCAAGGTATTTCTGGTGCTCAGAGGTTTCAAATTCACAAGGCATATGGAGCTCCTGAAAGACTGCCATCAGCTCATACATGGTAAGTTTAGTAACGTACGTAGACAGGATTACTAGTTCACTTGTCCCTAGCTTTTAATATCTGCTGGTTGCTCAGATTTGTGTCATATTTTTAACTTTCAAATCCTTTTTTTTTTCCAGTTTCAACCAACTGGACCTCCCCGAATATACGTCGAAGGAACAGCTTCAAGAGCGCTTGCTACTGGCTATCCATGAAGCTAGTGAAGGATTTGGCTTTGGATAAAATATCTCAGAAGTGTCTGCCTAGAAGTTGGTGGAATTTGATACTGCAATTTCATGTACATGTTAGTGCCCTTGTGAAATGAGTGCAACTCTTCTCGTTTTGTGTTCACTTTTCACGGTGTTCTTCCTCCATTTTTCTCTTCAGAAGAAAAATGCAGGTCTTGCATAGCTATTTGCTTCTTGCCAGTCCATTCAGCATGCCCATTTTGTTTTTTTTTTTTTTAAATGAAAAATCCTAATTTCAACCTTCTTGATTGAAAAACCAGAAGATAAGCTGTCCATTGAATCCTTTTTCTTCCTGTAGTTCTTATGAATAGGTTTCTTAGCCAGCAGCATTTTCAGAGTTTCTGCTTGCGTCCTATTAGAACCGATGTTTGATGCTTTAAGCTTTGTTGATACTAGTTGTTTGAAATGGTTATTAAGACCAAATTTCCAAATTTGGACAAGTTTGTTGACATAGGATTTGGAGCCAATGTTAAGTTCATTTTGGCATTTGGATGTTACTGAAGAGTTTTGTGTATTTTGTCTAGTGTGTCTTTTTTCCCCCGAGGCTCTGACATTTATTTATTTTGCAGATCATGAAGCATTAAAGCTCAAATCAGATATTCGTAGCATACAAGTCAAATTGAATTTTCGACTTAACGGGGATGCATCAGATTTTCGAAGTTTGAGATGGGGGTAATTTCAGGCACCGTCGCCCTTTTCTGAAGCAAATTTTTGTGTCTTTGATCCCGTGGCTAGGAAATTGGTTATTTATGGCTCCTTGCCACATCTATGGATCAGGAGACGCATAATTAATGAAGACTCATTTGTATATACATTCTTTTTTGTTTTTATATATTAATATCTGCTGGGGAGAAGTTTTTCCTTTTTGTGCATGATGGCCTTGAGACTCCTATATCTAAATAAATATTCGTGGATGAAGCTTTCTAAGATATCATCATCAATTTTTGCCTTCTGTTATTATCTTGGTATCTGCAAGGAAGATGTGTACTCTTCTATCACGTCATAGAGGAGACTGACTTCCTGTGATGTTTTTATGGTGGAAGCCTATACATTGCATCCTTGTTGTATGGGTCTCTCTTGCTGTTGAGCTAGTGCATCCTTGGCAGGGAATTTCAATGCAGAACTTAGACGGGAGGTTAAAGGTATCGAGGCAATTATGGAAATGATTAAATTTTAACCCCCATGACTGACCCGTCCCCAAACTTTTATTTTTAGCCATATGGTTCATCTTCAACTGGCCATTGGTTGCTAAATTAAATGCCCATGTAGTAAAATGCTACCTATGTGAATAATCTATATTTGGTCAAGCTAATTAATGGGAGTACCATTTTTGTCCCCTTAAAAATCCTCGATGCAAATACAGCCGGTGTACTGTAAATCACTAGTAAAAACTTTGCTTTGTAGTTATATTAAGAAGATTATAATGAGCTCTTCCTATCAATTCCCCTAAAGCCTCTTTTCGCCTGGGCCTGGTACGGTGAGCGAACGCTTTTAGGGCGTCTAAGAAATCTCATTGGATACCTCAGTTAAAGGGTCTTAAAGCCTGTTTCCCCAGGGCCCTATATGATTTTGAGGTGAAAGTGAACACATTAAAAGATGTTGCCTTTCATTGAAGAATGGCCCATCATAGGCCCAAAAATAAGTACAATATTTTCACCTCAGTCCAACAACTAAAAATTTCGTTGACGAGACTACCCTTGTCTCTTCTTCACATTTTCTTGCCCGTACACAAGTACGGTTCTTGGTGGATACTCTGGCACCGACTTCTAGCAAGATGTCTCGTTTGCTTAAGAGGCGGCAAATACACCCTCCCAAATCCCTGGTACCAACAAAAAAGAAATACAATTGAATTAATACAGATGTCATGCGTTCTTGTTTGGGCTCTGCAACAGCCAGAGACTTTTTTCTTTTTCCCCAAAATGGAGTAAAAATCCGAGCTTTTTCCAAAATGGGCAGAATTTCTAAAGATTTCCCAGAACAACTGAAAGGTACTCCCAAAAGCAGAAGAGCAGCAGATACAGAGTCACCTGGTACTTTGTTTCTATCATGTCTGAATTTCTATTCTCTTTACTTTCTGTGTGTGTGTGTGTGTGTGGCCGTGTTTGAGTGCATAAAGTCTTGTGCTTTATGGTAATAGGTGATAAGCGGGAAAGAAGTATTCATACAATTTTGACAATAGATCGTTGGGAGTCACTGAACCGGATGGAATACAGGATGGCATCATTGAGGCCAGTCCACGGAAGATTATCTTTGAAAATTCTCAATTGGGTCATAAAGCAACCAGGTTTGGAGCTCAGTCACATAATTCATATGTACTGTATAACGGCCCACATACTTATTAGAGCAAAAATGTATGACTCTGCTAAGTCAATTTTGATGCATTTATCTGAGATGCGCTTTGGGTCAAGTTATGTTTTTGATGCTCTTATGAATACATATCGTCTTTGCAAATCAAACCCTTCAGTTTTTGACATTTTGATAAGGGTTTATGTAAGAAGAGGGATGGTTGAGGATGCTTTGGAGATATTTTCTTTAATGGGTTGTCGGAAGTTTAGGCCCTCAGCGGATTCTTGTAATATGATCCTAGCTGCGATGATGAAGGGCAGGCGTGCGGATTCAGTATGGTCATTTTTCAAGGAAATGCTGGCAAATAATGTATGCCCTAATGTAGGAACATTTAATATACTGTTGAATGCTCTTTGTTTGGAGGGAAAGCTTAAGAATGCGGGTTATCTACTAAATAAGATGGAAGAAAGTGGTTATGCTCCAAACATTGTTACCTATAACACGTTGCTCAACTGGTATTGCAAGAACGGAAGATACAAATCCGCTTTTGGGCTGATGGATCGCATGAGTTCTAAGGGTATTGAAGCTGACGTGTGTACTTATAACATGTTTATGAATGAACTTTGTAGAAATAATAGGAGTGCAAAAGGTTATTTATTGCTGAGAACGATGCGGAAGAGGAGGGTATTCCCAAATCAAGTGACATATAATACACTCATTAGTGGGTTTGTCAGAGAGGCAAAAATTGGGGTTGCTACTCAGCTTTATGAAGAGATGTTGAGTTTTCACCTTTCACCGAACCATATCACTTACAATGCCTTGATTAATGGGCTTTCTCTGGAAGGAAACTTTGAAGAAGCTTCAGAACTTCTCAACAAAATGGAAGAAGGAGGACTACAACCTAATGAAGTCAGTTATGGTGCTGTTGTGAATGGGTTATGCAAGCATAATAAGGTAGATTTGGCAAGAAATCTTTTCGAGAGAATGAGGATTAAGGGTATGGTTATTAGTCCAAATTCCTATACCATGCTGATGGATGGGCTATGTAAGAATGGAATGCTCGAGGAGAGTATACAAGTGCTTGGCGCAATGTTTGAGGATGGTGTAAATCCTGATTTAATCACATATTCAGTACTTGTAAATGGATTCTGTAGAGCTGGAAGGATGAATAGTTCAAAGGAGATAATCTGTAAGATGTATAGATCTGGACTGGTAGTGAATTATACTGTATATTGTACATTACTGTATCATTTTTGCCAGCAGGGAAACATTGCTGAAGCAATGAGAACCTATGCATTAATGCATAAAAGTGGCCATGTTCCTGATCTTTTTGTTTGCAACTTATTGGTATCCTCCCTTTGTAGGTGTGGGAAGATAGGTGAAGCAGAAGATTTCATGCATCACATGCATAGAATTGGTATTACTCCCAATTCATTTACTTTTAATAGTGTAATTGGTGGCTGTAGAAACAAAGGTGATGGGCTAAAGGCATTTTCTTTGTTTGATGATATGATTCAATTGGGTAATCACCCAAGCTCTTACACATATGCGAGTCTTTTAAAATCACTATGCACAGCAGGGAATCTTTTAATAGGAGTGAAATTTTTTGATCAACTTCGGCACATCCCTTATGCTGTCAATGCTGCTGCATACAACATCTTACTGGCTGAGACTTGTAAATCAGGAAAGTTCCAGATGACATTAAGCCTTTTAGACGAAATGGTTTCAAATAATGTGCTTCCTGATGATTGCACATATACTAGTCTTTTTGATGGGTTATGTAGAAAAGGCAGGATGGTTACTGCAATTATACTGTTTGGAAGAGCATTGGAAAGAGGAACCTTCTTTCCAAACCAGGTACTGTATACCTGTATCATCAATGGGCTTTTCAAGAGTGGCCATCCAAAGATTGCTACTTATTTTTATGATGAGATGTTAAAAAATGGTTTGAACGTTGATACAGTGGCATTCAATGCTATGCTGGATGGTTATTCAAGAATTGGACAACTAGCAAAGGCCAAGAGTCTTTTCTCAATGATGAGTGGTAGAAATTTGTGCTCTAATTTGGCTACGTATAATATTCTTTTACATGGGCACTCCAAGCAACAACGCATATCAGAATGCTTTTCCTTGTATGCCACTATGGTGAGGAAAGATCTTCTTCCTGATAAAATAACATACCATTCTATAATTCTCGGACTCTGCGAGTCAGGGATGGTGGATATTGGTGTCAAATTTCTTAAAAAGATGATTTTGGAGGGGACTATGGCTGACACCATGATGTTTAACATGTTAATTACCAAATATTCTGAGAGGGACAAAATGGAGAAGGTCTTTGACCTTTTGAACATAATGAGGTCTATTGGAGTTTCAGAGGATGGAGATACTTACAGCTCTATACTTATGGGACTTGGAAGAGCATCTAATTTCCAAGCATCTCGTATTGTGTTGCATGGAATGTCAGGAAAAGGCTTTATACCTACAGAAAGACAATACTGTAGCGTAATCACTGGTTTGTGTAGAGTGGGAGACATACGCGGAGCATTCAGGTTAAAAGATGAGATGGAGACACTAGGCCTGAGCTCCCAAAATGTAGCTGAAAGTGCCATGGTTAGAGGCCTTGTGCGACGTGGAAAGACAGAGGAAGCAATGTTTTTTCTTGATTGCATGCTAAGGGGACAACTTGTACCAACTGTTGCAACTTTTACAACTCTCATGCATCAGTTTTGCAATGAATCTAAATTTTCTGAGGCATTGGAGTTAAAAACTATAATGGAACTTCATGGAAGAAAGCCAGATGCTGTTACATACAATGTTCTTATATCAGGCCTTTGTGTCAGCGGTGACAAACTTCAAGCATTTGATTTGTACAAGGAAATGAAGCAGAGGGATCTCTGCCCCACTGTCACAACCTTTAGGGTGCTCCTTCATGCAGTTTCTTCTGAAAATGATTCTGTTAAGGGCAAAACCCTTCTAGTGGATCTGCAAGAAAGAGGACTGATAAGTCAAGATTTGGATGCCCAACTTTGGTGCAAGACATCAGTGGTTGCAATGGAGAAGTTAGACTTCTTGATCAAAAGAAAGAGTAGCTGCAGCCACGAAAAGGAGTATAGCCATTGGGAATATTCATCATTCGGCACTTCTGCAAGTTTATGATTGTTTCAGATGATTTAAACTGCCATCTCACTCCACACTAGGTCTATTTCCTATACCAAAACTTTTGAGTTCTCAAGTAATTATCTGTATGTACAGATGTTTGTTTTATGTTCTTGGTATGAATGAGATTTTTTTAAATTTTAATGTTTTTTCAGCCTTTGAGTAGTTATCATCAGAATCAACTCCTTGGGTGCCAAAAAGGATGACTAGATTTTGCATTTTTTATGGTCAGAGCAGACGCTTGTGGACCATCTCAATAAGGTAATTTTGTTCAATTTCACTGCTTTTAAACTTGTCTAGGATGCCCAAAATGAGGTTGAGTTGGTATCCTCATAACTAAGATTGGTCTTTTTAAGCGGTTTGTAACATTGCCTTTCAACAATGCCTTCTTCCAACTCAGGAGTATTGGCTTATATTTGACATGTTGTAAACTGATTTGTGCTTTTCTTAATTCACAGGATTTGAATTGGAATCGGACCCTTGAGAAGTTATCAGCTATGTGT